AAAAAAAAAAAAAAAAAAAAAAAAAAAAAAAAAAAAAAAAGAGAGAGCACAACCGGCAACACCTTAGGCAAAAACTTTCTCCTTTGAAAACCACTTTCAGGGCTTGCTGGCGATCTGGATTCAAGCTGCTCAAACAGGTGCAAGGCAAACTTGCTGCTTCACTTTGCAAGGAGGAGGAGTGTGCAGAGCACTCAGAAATGTCCTTCTCTCTCTCCGGCACACACACGCACACCCTCCCTCTCTCTCTCTCTCTCTCTCCCTTATTCTTAATAGAGCTATTTTGTTGTTGTTGTTCTTTGCTAACTTCTAGAGAGCTTGTGTGTGACTTGCGTCCGCTGCTCCCAGGTGAACAGAGCAGAAGAGAGAGGAAAAGCCACCGAAAAAAGTAATTAAACGATAACTAAAAAAGAGGGAGAGAGAGTGAGGAGAAGAAAATAGAGAGGAGGGGGAGAAAAAAAACCCCAGAGCCAGAGAGAAGTTGCACAGTAATTTGTTCTCTGTGGTTTCCCTCCTCTTGCCCGGGAGGAATCAGGAGAGGAGGAGCTGGCGAGAGACACACAGAGAGAGGAGTCCAGCAGCCATACACCGCGCACCGAACTGGGATTAAATGAGTTTGCCGTGGCCAATCGGAACGCGGCGGCGGGGGATTATTTGCATGGCGCGCTGAGGAGTGACGTCCGGAGGTGAGAAGTATAAACTATTCTGGGGGTGGAGGGGAGGTTGGGAGGGGCCAGAGTAGGGGTCACGGCTACCCTGCTTTGCCCTGCTAGGTAAAGAGGAGTTAACAGTAATTAAATACCATTATAATCCTGCAACAATAATACCCCTCACTCGAAACACTTAGAGTGCTAGCTACAGAGTCTACAAAAGTCAGGAAATTACAAAGTTATGGATGACATTCTTGCCTTAACTCTGGCAGGTGCGTGTGTGCCTGTGTCAGGACAACATGATGGTGCGTGGTGGGAGACATGAAATGTTTTGTTGGCATGGCTTTGCGTGCGTGTGTGTTCGCTGGAGAACCACGGGAACACACCATCTGCATTCCTGAGCGCTAGCCTTACATTTGAATCTTCTGCCTGCGTGTCCTTAGAGACCACACGCTTCCTTAAATTCTCACTGAACGTTCTCTCACTCCTTTTAAAAGATGGGGGTGGTGAAATGGTTGGGGGAGCCTATATTATTCTCATATATTTACTCAACAGACCTTTTAATCAATCCAGTACATCCATATGAACGCACTTGTTTAAAACCTTCGCAGCTGTTACAGTGGTTTGTATATAGTAGCACACCTCGGTAGATTAATAAATAATATCAACATGCCAGTCCATAACTCGATGTTTACTATGTTAAATGTGGAGTTGAAAAGACAATGGCCCGATCCCGCACCCCTTATTCAGAGAAATCTCCCACGGCTATATCAGCGCAGATCTCCTAATTGTGTGGTAGAGATCTATCCATTCTTCCTAAGGAGTTATATCTACTGGAGCATTGCCTGAATGATGACTGTAGACTCGGACCATAAATGTTTCTACCCAAGTTAATGACATGGCTGTTCCAAGTACTGAAAATATACAAAGGCCTAGTCCATAATACTGTATAGGCTAATCACCTAAATTGCTATCGTTATATATTTAGATCTAGGGGCATTAAAGTACCTGAGACTCCTAAATGTATATATAAACATCTTGTATTTCTATAAAGTAAACATGGACAACTTAATTCTTTGTGAAAACGTTAAAGGGAACATTTTTGTTCCCTGGCTGAGCAGTGAGACAGATTACAGTGATTTTGTATTGCGGTGCAAATAAGGGTGTATAACGAAAGTGACGATATACCCTTAATATCGTCCTGTAAATGCCCATTCTATAGTACAAATAAACATATATGAATCATGATCATAATAATATTTCATCGTGTGGGGGGAAATGTTCACCTGGCATCCCCTCTTTTTCTCCCACGTTATGTGAGTGTTAATTTTCGTGACCCTAATGGCTGTCCAAAGTACAGAAATAATACCACTCACCGCCATTACTGTTATTACTGTAGAACTTTTATATAGTAGGGTTATTATAATATACAAGGCAACAGCATGATGTTCTGTGTCCAGATTAAACAATTTTCATTTTAGATTACTCCACATTAAGTGGTATTCTCCTCACGTTCATTTTGATTAATTTAGAGGAATAATATTACTTTACATACAATTTGGATTAGATGTATGAGGCCTGCTCCTGCTCCCACTATATTCAGTGAGAGTTTTGCCATTGACTTTAATGGGAGCAGGATTTAGGCGCTATTTTGCAATCTGCTGTTTGTTTCTTTGATGCAAAACTTCCCTTGAAGTCATTAGTGAAATCAATGGGAGATTTACTTAACTAAGGATTATAGGATCGGGCCCTCAGTGTTTTAGTAGCCTGTTTATTTTAGTTAATTATAATGAGTTTGTTACATCTGTAGGGGAAAAACAAACCAAACATTTTAGTTGTTTAATAATGTATTTTAAAAGTTAACAATTAATAAGTGTATGTGTGTGGGGAATTGTTTAAGAAATAAATACGTTTCCCCTTTGACAGCTGATAAAGAAAGGAGAGTTGAGTATTGTAATAAACCAATAAAGGCAATGATTTATAAGAAGTTATAACTGTTTTTGTCACTTAACGACCGAGTGATATTTTATTTTTGAAATTAGATTTTAAAATAGCCAAAGACCTGAAAATAAGTTGTATGAAACGGTTTTGGTGCCATCTTTTCCATAGGAATTCGGCAGTTCGTTTAACACATACCCCGAAATCTAACGTTCATCACAGGAAGAAGTTATAATTCTTGGAATTTGGATAACTGACTTTGACTCAGTATAGATTTTTTTTCTCTATCAATCATGTTCTCGCAAATTGTTTCCAAATATGATATTGCCCTTTGTTTCCCCGTGCATTTAAACTGACGGTAGATGTTTAGCCTTGAATTATATATACTGCGCTATTGCAAGTGTTCAAAGCTTCCGCAATAAACCTTTTATGGATTATGTTACTGTGGCCCAGTTGCAGGCACTATGGGTGCCTGCATTTATGAGCGTTAAACTCAAACTGCAGGTGTAACTTGTTGCCAAGTGACAGTTGATTGACAGCTGCTGCGTGTGCCAATCAGGCAGCAGCAGGACACCCAGCGCCAAGACTCCGAGTCTGGCAAAGGGAGAAGAAAAGCCGTACACTAGCTCATCCATAATCTTTCTACGTTCTCTGGAAGCAATGCCACCCCCTCTTCCAGTAAACAAACAAACCTCAAACAATAAAACTCATCGGCTCCTCTCCTTCCACAACAACAAAAATGCCGCAAAGAAAATACCCACCAACAAACCAAACACAAACAGGCAAGGGCGAGGAGCTCTGCCTAGCACTGATGCTATTTGGATGAGGCCATGTCACATTGTGCCATCCCTTTGAGGATCTCAAGGGGAATAGCGCTGTAGGATTGCAGCCCGCACATCCGCATGTCCCCCCCGGGACAGACAGCACAGCTAGCTGTGAAGCGACAGGGCTGACTGCGAATCTTTGCACTCACTCCCAGAGCTTCATTGGTGGGTTCATTGG